GGGTGTGAAGCTATAGTTAAATGCAAGGTAACAAGTGCTTGCATAATAACTATTGCTTACGTGTATATTTAAATAAGCTTTAAGTTAACTTGTTTAATCTGCAAATTAAGATCATGATTGTTCCATTTTATGTAAAGGGATTCTTTGATTTTCAATTTGATTTCATTGTTATCAATATCCAGTATAGAGAAACATTTCTTATCAGACAACCTTTTACATTTACTGTTTGCGTTAAGGTGTTTAAGTACGTGTGAATTTTTATCCTTTCCAAGATGTTCACCAATCCCGTAATTAATCTACGGCCTGTATAGCCTATATAACTGGAATTACATCCAGCACATTTAAATTTATATACTACTGAGGATCGGGATTCATTGGGGATAGTATCTTTAGTACTAAAGAACTGACTGATTTTAGTGGTACTAAATATCACATGTACTTTACAATCAATACAGTATTTTTTGACAAGATTCATGTTGTCAGAAGATATGCCAATATATGGAAGTTTAACAAAAAGTGTTTTAACATTGTCATCATTGACAGTTTTCTTTGTAATATATCAGAGAAAATTTGATAATATGGACAGAGCCAAAGAAAATTTGATAATATGGACAGAGCCAAAGAATAATATTTATATACTGTATTGCGATTAAACAAGGTATATAAACGATAGGTCCAAGTAAATACGTAATTATTTTTTATTGGAACTAAAAATTGTTTACTCTTAGTCACTAACTGAATTATGAAAGTGGTAATTAAATTTTTAATAAAAACTTTTCTGGGGTGTTACCCTGGCCAGTATTCTTGTCAATTGTTCAGCTTGCATAATAAAAAGGAAACTGTGTTGGCTGGATAAGAAGATTATATGACCTTAAACTGACCTTATTAATTAACTTTTATGCTGGATTTGACTTAGGATTTACAGACAATGAGCAATATATGTTAACAACAAAACTTGATTAGTTTACAAGTGTGGTGTTAATTATCAAAAATTAAATTTAAAGGATATTTTGAAACATTTTTGGGAAGGTTTTTGATAATTGTACTCTAGCATACTACTATTCTCCGAACCTTCAGGATTTTGTTTTTGAAGTTTGAACAAAGAAAGGATTTACATCAGTTATTACTATTTAAGGCCCAGTCCAGACTAAAATTTTATTTGACAAAAACATGTGACATGCCTAAATATGGTCATGATGACATCACATCATGACTGTGTTCATACAACAGGTTATTGTCAATGAAAATTTGATAATATGGACAGAGCCTAAGAATAATTTAATTTTAATTTATTTCAAAATTCTAAGTACAGAAAATAAACTAGCAGTTTCTAATAGAAAAGTAAAATGCTATAAGTATGCAATTCATGTATACTAATAGATACTTCAGTACATAAAATGGTGTACTGATTTTAGTTTAGTATTAATATAATAATAATAATAATAATAATAATATTTCTTTATTTGTCCTCATATATGTATGCCTACACACTGGGAAATTCGGGCTGGGTCTCCGGGGACCCGCGGCTGCCATAGCTCGGCGCCAACTACCCCACTTACTCTACAACATCAAACGGATACAGACTGATACATACATGGTCCTTAACTCGCCTAACTCTCTTGAGAGGGTTATTCGAGGAGCTGTGTGTTTTGTTATTATAAAATACCCGAATTCAATACTCGATGCAGAGCCGGGTATCGAACCTGGGCCCTGGCGTGCAAGAGGCAGGAACCATACCAATTAGCCAAACGCTAAGGTAGAAATGTATGATTTGGCGACTTATAAGAATGGGTTTCAAAAATTTTATTTACAATGCTACAAAACAACATAATAATATACTAATAGACATGTATAGTAGTCGATCTTGTTTTATTAGGCATTTTTCGTTTTGACTACGCGGCCAGTCTACTAGGAACTAATAGAGCGTAACAGACATCTGCGCATGCTCACAAACCTTACTGGCTAAATCGGCGTTGTGACAGCTTCCGCGACAACCCCAATTTCTGAATTTGGCGTAGTGGCGACTACCCTAATATTGACCAATCATATCACCGGATTGTCTTTTTTGTTGGGGGTTGCAATTTTCATCGCATCCACGATCGAGCATTGGTCGTTTATAATGAATTAATTATTAAAACAAGTGAGTGATTAAATGTTTTATATAAAGGCCTATTTATACACATGCAATAAATGAGGAATGAATAGTCACAACATAAATTTAGGTAAATCAGGGGATAGTGAAAAAAGAGCCTTAGGCCTATGCTAGCCTAGCCTTGTCAGGGTGGATTTCGGGTAGGAGAAAACACATTATCTGGTGCCGCTAGCTAGGGAATCCGCCCTTGATATTGTGGATCAATTGCCTTGCTATATAAATTAAAATACCTCTGTTTAAAATTGTTATTTATTTACATCATCGTTGCATTTGGCAAATTGCCTGAGCAGGCCTGACACCCTCTTCTCCCGGTAACGACTCTGTTGACACCTACCTAGGGCCTAGGCTAGGCTGGCCTAGCCTAGCCTAGGTAGGCCTAGATCCTAGCCAACAGCGAAACATCACTCAGTGTTTACTGGAAACTTTTTATTTTGTATACAGTATTTGGCTAAAGTTTTTTTTTTCACATTTCCTTTTTCAAATATAAAACAAGGGAACATTGTTCTCTGGTAATAAAACCTGGTAACTCCCCTCCGTATAGGCCTACGTGTGTGCTGCGTCGTCGTAGTCGCCTAAAAAAAAAGACGAAAACAGCTCTTGGTCTACTACGCGAACAGTGTCTTGGCGTTGCCGTCACGCTCCATTAGTTCGTAGTAGACTGGCCGCGTAGTCAAAACGAAAAATGCCTATTGTTACCACAATAGGCTTCACAGTATTTAAATATGTAAAAAAATAGTGTTATCCACAATTGCCTTCACAGTATTTAAATCTGTTTTAACAAAAAAATATTTAAAAATTTTTAATATTTTCTCAATCATTTAAAACTGTTTAAAAAAAGAAACATTATAAAGAACTTTAGAATAACCATTTAAGCATGTTTCCGAAGGGGTCCTGTTAAAATAATAACACCATTTAAACATTTCAGTGAATTGTTGGTGTATCATAAGTACATTAAATTGTTTATTTCCTCCGAAGAGTGCTTGTTTGTTACAGTGCCTTTTGGGATGGTAGTTAACTACTGTGTCCAAGTACTCATTTATTTTTTTCTATCTCTTGATCATGAATATTCAGAAGATTATGATCAACATTCCATTTAAGAAAATAAAAGGTCTTCTTCACTTTACTTGGAGTAAATAAAAAAAATTCTGTATTTAAGTATTTTTGTGTATCATTATGAAAATGACTTTATTAAAAGTGTTGACTGCATACCTCATGACTTGCATTTTGATTAATTTTAATATTGTTGGCTGATATATATTATACTCTGAAGAAAAGAGAATTAGATGACAGGAACTTGTGGAGCAACAAGGCTTTAATAAACATTAGACAAAATGTGCACAAAGCATGGTACAAACAGGGAATACAAGTCAATTAAAATAATGATGCAGAAATTTTGCGAGTGTCAAGTATTGAGTCATTCAACCCGTTTAGTCCCCTTGCTAATGTGTCCTTCCTCTTGTATCAATCTAACAGTATATGTCTATTTTTAGGCTGACCTGGGAAAAATTATGGTTTCAACCATCAATTATACCTCTAATTTTTATTGATTTTCATTAATTTGAGGATGATCATATGAGAACTAAAGTGACAGAACTTGTCATTGAACCGTTTACTCTGACATCTTCAGATGTTATATTAATACTTGCAACTAATTACTATCAATCTGAAATGTGTGTCTATTTTTAAGCTGACCTGGGAAAAATCATGGATTCTGCAATCAATTAATGCATCTAATATCTATTGATCTTTATGATTACTGTAGTTTTAGGAGGAACAATCATGTAGGAATTATGGTGACAAGTCTTATTGATATGGCCTTATATGTCTTCAAAAACAGGGGAGGGGTGAGCAAACAATTTTTGATTTAGGAAAGTGCATTGTGAGTAATAAGTTGGGAAAAAAAATACAGGAAAGAATAGCAGGAAAATAGTTCAGCAACTTTTCTGTTACATTTTGTAAATTGATCAATAAAAAATAGGTTAAACTGAAATCTACAGAAGATTCTGCTTCAAAAGATGTGTTCCCATGTGGGATCAACTTTCTTAGAGCTTCCTCAAATATTGTACATTTGAGCTTTTTAATCAAGCCATACACGTACCATGAACATCTGCTGGTCAGTGAGTTTGACCCGGTTAACATGCTCCTGTGTAGACTAGTTTCCAGTCCCTAAATTTTGTCGTCCTAATCAGTGAAAAATCTTAAAAATAAATCAATTTTGGCACCAATGGCATTCCATATTACTTATTTGCATGGCATTTCATACTATACTTTTTCTGGGTTTTCTAATTGCCATCCATAGAGTACTACAGTGTTACGTCACGATACCACGCGATACCACTCCGTTTCTATTGGCGACACAAAATGCGTTCAAGCGGATGCCATTTTCTCTACTGACAAACCATTGATTCCAATTTCTAACGTAATTATTAAGATGTTGTATCTTAGTTTTTCTTTGTAAATTGATGATTAAATGTGTGTTCGATAACTATATATAATGCAAGCTTTTGTGTTTTTAGTACATTTTGATGGTAAATTATTAGGTTTTAAAATGCCTATTCCAGAAAGCCTATTCTAAACCATTAATATTATGAAGTCATTCAGGCATAATGAACGGTAACCAATGTCTGGTTGACAACAAAGCTCGCCACTTGGTGTTGTGATGACACGACTGTTGTACTCTATAACAGGTGCTGGTGGCGCTCTCCGAAATTATCTAATACTAGGAAAAATCAATAAATTAGAGACTTGTGGCAAGTCTAGCTCCTGGGTTGTTTGACCTAAATGTTGTTTATTTCTTCTTGCAGGCTGTTCTTGGAGACACTGTACGAACACCAACCATTGGGTTTCTGGTGCTGGATCATCTGTGCCCTGCCATCGCCAACATCATCAAAGATGGCATGAAACCATACATCAGAAATTTCATCATTGGTAGGATGAAGAACTCCATTTGGCAGGTGGTTGAAGCTACCACTGAACTTGGTATGATAATATTTTTATACTTTAAAAAATAAATCTTGAGGGATAGTATTGATAGTGATGATGAAAATTCAGATGGAGATATTGTGATGTAAAAGATATGATTGTAATTATGCTGAATGTGGTGGTATTGATGTTGTTAATGGAAGTATTTCTAATATGCAGTTGAAGATGCAGTAACATCCTATCTCTCTTTATTCTCTAGGTCCTGGTACCAGGTCCTTATATGAATTAGTGTGTCTCATACAAGAACAAAAGTCCTTGTCAACAGATGCTCTGAAGTTCAATGCCTTCATCTTTGGACTTCTCAGGTAAGAGATGTAATATAATTAAGAACATGTTAGTGGTTACAATATGTGTTAGATGTTGTTATTGCACCTGTGTGTGGTTTTGTTAAGTTTGAGCATTTAGCATTATTCACATTAATACTACATTTAAAACTGAGCATTGAATGTTAATTGGAAAAGAAATGTTCATTGTGTCAGGACTTGTGAATGTATTGACAAAGAAATTATGCTTGAAAGATATTTGCACAAAGGGATTAAAAGTTGCCTCTCAAGATTTTCTTTTATTTCACATTCCATCTAATTTGGTTGCTCTCACATGCTGTGGCTATTTGCTGCAATGCAGCTAATAAGAAATAAATAAGCTAAAGGATGTTTACATTTTATTCAGCATGAAGGCTCTAATTATTCATGATTTACTTCATGGGAAATACACCTTTTTCAGTTTCACTGTAACATGATACAATTGACATACTGTAAACACCAGACTGTCAAACATTTAAATCATTCAAAATTTTAGATATTCATGATTTATTATTTATTTAAAACATGATATATTATTTATTTTTGTTATTGGTACTCAGTGTCTCTACATTATTACATGGGAGGTAAGTCCACAAATATAAAAAAAATAAAAAATCAGAAAATAAAGATTACCATCTGTTGCATGCTATAACAGAATCATTGAGGGAGCGCATTCTAATTTCAAACACTATGATAATATAGTTGATCATTGAGCAGGGGATGGATTCAGGATTTTTCTGCTGGGGAGAGGGGGTAAATTTCAAATCAAGGACCTATGATTTGATGGGAGGAGGGTATGGATGTTCCCTTCTACACTTTGAGGGTCCAGGATGATAGCTCATTGATGAAAACTCAAGAGATTATTTTGCTATACATCCTAATTTCACGCTTGGTTAGACATTGTTTTAGCTGCTAAGGGTGGTAGGGTGTGTGCGTCTATCACCACCTCCTGGATCCGCCACTGGGGAGTGTTTCATGAAATAGTATGCTAAAGCAATTGGTTGTATTCCTTGCACCTTGGTTGGTAACACTCTAAAAGTTTCACAAACCTACAGGATACTTGCTTGAGGAATGTACACTTTCCATTCAGAAGTACGCTTTCTCCTAGATATACAATATTAAATTTTAACAATAAAAATTGCACTTAAACTAGGCAACACTGCGTTGTACAACTGTTAGATAACGAATCCATCGTTCCAATGCTGTCTCCTAACTCCTGTCTTAACTCAGTCACCTAAACTGTTTATGCGCTGAATCGTGGAGATCTCTAGGTTCCCGGTTCAATTCCTATCGCTGTTCTCCTTATGTTTCTGCTGGAGAGTTGAAATACAAGTTAAGATAGCATACGTCTTTCGGATGAGACCTTTAAGCCCTTGGTCCCACGTGCTATGTGGCCCAAAGAAAATAAGAAAGAACACAGTACATGCTTTTCGAAAAGAGTAGGAGATTGCCTCCCAGTGTACTGCCCACACCACCCCAAGGACCCCACTGGAAACAAGTCTTCGGAGTTCACACTGAAATACTCCTATCCTAATTGTTGATAGCAGACTGAGTGGATTGTTATTTAAAACGATTCATTGCGTGCACCTTGTTGCGTTATATTTTCCATATAACCACATTGACGTAGTAATCGGCGCAGTCGTCTCCGCAGTGTTGCAGGATTTGGGAGTCTGTACACCTTATCTTGCCTCGGAATGTACTTCTACCCATGAAAGGTACATTTTTAACATGAAGGTACACTTATACCGTAGAGGGATAGCACATTGCATCAAGAATAATTAATTTGGGTATTACATCACCACTATTTTTTTTATTCATTTTCCATGCACATAACATTAAAAAATCAGTTAAACTCTTCACTTGTGGTTTATTGGTTTTGGAATTATCACAAACTTGAACTCATTACCTAAATCTAGTGTGGTGGAGTAATTACTGTATCTAAAGCTGGGCACTCACTGCCTCTTGCTTACAACCGACGGCCAACAAATCCATCTCCACTCCCTGTGAGGGCTAGACAATGCGAAGCTGCATGCTAATTATCAACGTCAGTCTGAATGAATCGTTATTAAAAACGATTCTTTGTGCGCGCATTGTAGATTTGCGTTCTCCATAGAATCGCGATGGCCATCAGGTGCAGTGAGTTCCTGACTGAAGAGGTTGACTTAAATTTTGTCCTGTGCTTTTGGCATAAAAATTATTTTTGATACGTGGGCTTGGGAGTGTAGCTTTTTGTTTTTCCGCTTTGGCTGGATAAGAGACTGCAATACATTTGGAGTGGGGTGTGTTTCAGTAGGTGTAGTTTTCATTATAGGCTAGTGATACTATAGTACATAGAACTGAGTCCAATATTTTAGCAGATGCAAAAGCAAATAAATGTTGACACAGCGGTCCAGCTATTTTAGTAAAAAAATTGTATAATGATGATAAGTTAGCATTGCAAACCTGGTGTATTTTTTTAGTTTTAGTTGCTCCCAGTACATTTAATCTACAGTATATGCGAATGCTGAATTTTGTTCATATTTTATTATTTTTGGTCCAAGTATTCCCTAAACGGATTTCTTCAAAATTTTAACAGTATCATTCTTTTGTGTATCATGCTCTTGTTATAAATTTTCAGTATTTACAATATTGACCATTCAACTCTAAGAATCACTGTCACATTATTGTTATAAGTCATTGCTAAACTGTAGTTATATATTTTTGCGAATTGTGCATTACATTAACAATTATATTTTCATATTCAATGCCATTCACAATTGAAAAAAAAAAGTATTGCAATTTAGCTGATAAGGTTTTAGCTAAGACTGTTGTAAAGCAGTGGTCTTTTTAAAGTTGTCTACTGAACAGTTCAGACCAGCTCTTTAACTTTTTTGTTGCAACTCCTCCTAACTGTTGTAGTTTCAGATTCAGGGGCCGGCAAAAGAAATGCTTGCAGCTGCCCCTCCCCAAACCTTTCCACCCCCTGGTAGCAGCCAAAACAAAATCAATCTTTTAGATAAGAGATTGAAATGCCTAAAACTCATAAAGTTCCAATTGGGTTCTTCTCTTGACACCCACAGTCCTTCAGTTACCACTCAAACCCAACAAAAACATCGTGGATCCGCCAGTGTGTCAATTACGTTTGCTAGTGTTTAAGACTCTGAAATGAAAAACATTTTCATTTCTCTCTCTTCTTTTTTTAGTACAAAGTGTTTGGAAGTGTGGTTAAATCATATCAGACGTCATCCCGGTAAGCAAATTTTTTACTTTCAATTATTTATTTTTTTATGATAATTGCTTTTTAGTGTAACATTTAACATTAACATTTTTTAGTGTTACTTTCATGTCAACTTCTTAATGAATATAATGGTTTGTGATTTTAAAATATCTTGTAATATATCCAGCTGTAAAAAGTGAAAAAAACATAATATAATAATTATAAAGAAATGTCCACAACCAAATATCTTTTTCTTTTTTCTGTAATTTAAGACCATTAAAATGCATAGATTATTGAACATAATCATAGATGCTTTATTAAGATGAGTACATAAATGCACCAAACAAAAACAATTAGTGGGAAAAAGCATTTAGCATTTTTTTAGAATTCTAAATTCAGAAAGAATGGAAATTATAAAGTATTTCAAGATTACAATTGAAAAATACAAATAATCAGTGAGTTATTGTCATTGTCCAGTACCTAGAATAATAGATAAATGGTTGCCTCTGGAATAATTTTCTTGTGTTTTTGATAGATATTGTGAAGAGCTACTTTGATCAGAATGCGTTTTTGAGCCAGTGCAATAGAAAGACAAGCCAACTCTTTAATGACTTGCTGGTTGCTGTGCAGCCACTCTCCTTACTCCCTTTTAAATTGGCTTTAGACTTTGAATTAAAGTACACCCACAAAGAAACTTACCTCACTAGAGCAGAATCGTTAATGAATGAGCCACAGTCATTAATGTCGCTCCCTTGGTTAGGGAGAAGCAGCATGGGGTCTTTGCCACAAAGGAGCACAGGGCCTAGATCATTGCCACAAAGAAGCACAGGGCCTAGATCATTGCCACAAAAGGATGAAGGACAAGGAGCATCATGGCAGAGTTGGGCTAACCCATCTAGCCTCATAGGCTCCCTTAAGAGTCGTAAGGAACAATCTCTTGGAATTGGTGTTGAATCCAAAAAAGGGGAAACACAACATAAAAATTCTGATTCTTCATGGATGAGATCTAAGGAGTTGTTAAAGACTGCTATCGTCGGTAGAGATAATGCTATTATAAAAGAAAGAAATCGCAAATCGTACCTAAATTCTGCCAACAGTGCGACTCATAGATGGAGGGAGAACAAAACAGAAGGGGGGCAAACAAGAGATAAGACATTCCAGACGCAAAGAAGAAGTGCAAAGCATAACAGCATTTCAAATACAGTAATTGAAGGAAACCAAAGAACAGAGCAAGTAAGATCACAAATTGGAAGTAGCAAAAGTTGGTCACTTGATTGGATGACGGAAGCAGTGAGCAAGAAATTATATGGTGTAGAGTCACGCAAAGGAGATACAAAATATCCTGTCATTGGTGCTGTAAAAAGCAATTCAACGCAATTGCAAAAAACCAGTCAATCAGAGGGACTGTATGAAAGGGATTATCCTTCAGTTTCTGTGATGGACAATATTGGATCAAAGTATGTACAAAGTTTCTGTATTTACACAGTTCTTAATATGATCCAAATTCATTCATATATGTATAGGCCTATTTAGACAAAAAAAAGAAGATGTGATTATAGATAGTGTACTAAATTACCTTTTGGATTGTTTTGTTTTTTAGCTGGCTATAGATTGTTGTATTTTGCCATATAAGGAGGGTGATTTGTAATGTCATATTTACTTTTAATTTAAGTTTGTCTGATTAATCTTAGACCTTTGCAGAAGTACACCTACTTATTAATAATCATAATAATTGTTGTTGTTTTTATTGTATTCACCCCTTCAATTTTTCTGGTGTTGTGCTTAAATATTGTCTGTTTCTATACAGTGTTATTAAAGCATTTGATTATATGCTGCTTCCAAAAGCTCCAAAAGAAATCCAAATGGTAGAAATGAAACGTTCTAGACCAATGCAAGATGAAACACCAAGGACGCAAATAACACCACCAGTTGATGAATCAAGGACAGCACCCTCATCTGATAAAGCAAGAATTCAAACAGCACCACAAAGTGCTTCCAAAACTCAACAGTAAGAAACCAGACAATTATAGATGAATGATGTTGCTTTATATCCATTTAAGCTATTGTGCTAATTATTACTGTGCTGAAACATTTATTAAAGCATTGGTCCCAGCGCCTTGTATATTCTTTGGTTGTAAAAGGCGCTATACGGATTATAAGAAAAAAATTTAAAAATCTGATATTTAATAACTACTGCTTAAATAACCACACTTGAACAAAACTTGCCGATACTCTACACAATGCTATTAAATAACATATCTATAGTATATTCATTTCCAAACAAGTGTAACAATATGGTTGATATTTTAACTGTATTCTTGACTGTTTTTGCCATATATTCTTGGCATAACTTATTTCTAAGAACAACAACTAGCAATGATTTCTTGTCTCAAAGGACAAATTGGCATTTTTAATTAAAGGCCGAGGACTGAAAATTTCCCAGACAATAGGTCTTCAAAAATTTGCAATTCATTTTTCAAAAAGGCAATGGCTTATGTCATATGAAGCATTACAAGTGAACACAACATGTCTATCATCCCATATTATTATTATTTTAATTACAGATTCCTTTAATTTTTGGCTCTTCTCCCTTTTATCTTGTACTTGGGTTGTGGTTTTCAGTGTGCAGTATTATGCACTTAATAAGTGTATTTCCCATTACCATACAGCGATCCATTTACACAGTGAATAATCTCCCTCTGCAGTGGGTTATTTTTACATACCATCTGCTAAAACTTTAAATAATGAAATTGCATGTAGTAGTAGTATACGACTTTATTTATTCACGAAGCACAAATCAACAAATACATGTTTTCCTAATCAACAAATACATGTTTTTCTTCATAATGGCCTAGGAAACCTTACAGTTACGTTCATTTTATGACACATTACATTATGGACATAGAGTAAGAATTTTGTTGTCTTCGTTAATCCATTCATAAAGATTTTGCACCACTACATAGATATAATGAGTGCGGGAAAACCGTAAGAAAGCCCCCTTCCCAGCAATTACAGTGCTAATAGAGGGCACCATTTTGGGAACTCTTAACTGGATTAAATAAAGTGGCAAAAAAATGTACAGTAAAAAATTGAAAATGACGAAAAAGAACCCTCAAGAAAACCAACTGAGTTTGTATGAAAATAGGGACCAAAATAGATCTGTGTGTATATAGCTTGTATAATGTATGATATTGTTGTTACTTTTTTATTTCTAGAAATTCAGTGAAAACGAGGTGTCACAATGTATCCATGGAACAAGGCTTTTTAAGTTTCTCCAAGGGAGAGATATTAGAAATAAACCAACAAATTGATAAAGAACTATTGCTATGTTCCAAAGGTACGGAAACAGGACTGGTATACGAAGCCCATGTTGAAATAATCAAGCAGGATCATTGATGAAATACAAATTAATTGGATTGTGCAAGACTACTGTACTAAGAGTAAGAGGCATGATCTCAATCAGATGAAGAGGTGAAAGGATCCAGGATTATTTGAAGGGGAAGAATTCAGGAGTAATGGAAATTGGAAATAGAAAGAACTAGTATTGGAATGAAACCAGGAATAAAAAGCACTTAGTGTCACAAATTTTACAAACCATGGAATGAAAGAATAGAGAAATGGAATGAGAAAATAAAAGCACTTTGGAAGGAAACCAGGAATGGCAACACTTTAAATGGAATGTAGATTGACAAATTTTATGTAATTTGAATCTGGGGAAACAGAAATGAAATTACCCAGAAAAAAAGAACAAAAGAAAAAGCATTACTGATCGTGGGCAGTGCACTCTTTGCCCACACTTTGCCCATGGGCAATCATTCAACGATTTTAGAAAATCTTAAAAATTATCGAAAATTATATTGATTTAAAGCTGCTCATTTAACCATTATAGGTCAAAATTGTAAAACGTACACTACTCTACACTATGGTAGTAAATCCAGAAATAGTGATGTTGCATGGTGGCTGCGTTCTCTCCGGGAGGGTCGACCTCAATTTCTTTTTTTATGATACAGTACAATACAATGCAGTTGGTGCTCACGGTCTGTATACTACAGTACAGCATACCAAAAACAGTATGAAGGGAAATATAGCCATGGGCACGCGTGAATCGATTACAGTCTGCCTATGGACAGCGCGTCCGACAAAGTGCACCGCCTGTGATCGGTACTGTAATTATAATTCAGGAATTAAAAAAAAAAAATCAAACAGTAAGCAGGAATTAAAAATGAAAAAGATAATACAAGCAACCAGGGGAAGAAATGGGAATTATATCGACTGAAAAATTAGGATTTCTGTCTAATATTTTATAGATGATAAGGTTTTGCAGTAGATACAGTATGATATGATATAAAGGAATATACCAAATCAATTTTGGGACTAATTTATTAACCTGGTGTCTTTCTATGTATATTGTGGTTGTATATAAATAGTGTAAATTATCTACAGGAGAAACTGTTTAAATATAATTTGGTGCCAGATTGTACTTAATTTTTTGTTAAGTTTATTTTTTAAGCACTCTAAAATTAAATCTGAAATATACTCAACAATCAACAGCTTATTATATGTAATTACTGTATATATAATATAATTATAGTATAATAATAAAATATAAATCTCAATCTTGAAACTTTGCAACGGTCGTTGGCTGACGTGATTCTATGGAGAACACAACACCACGACGCGCACTCAACAGATCCTTAATTGCGATCCGTTCAGACTGCCACCAACAATCAGCAGACGGTGTCACATCGTTAATTTCTGGGAGACAATTTACAATTGGGAAAAACAATGGGAATATCATAAATTTGCGGGAGATAAATTGGTTTCCAGAAGATTCTTGCTTGTCTATGGAAATGCCGGAGGCCGCCGCAGTTTCCTGGAGACTCCCTTGACACAAGGGAGACTAGGGACACCTTTGTTAAACATCAATTAAATTTTAAATAAATGTAAAATAAAATTACTTAGTATTAAGTTATTAGCTTATATATTAAATATATTTTTCTTTCCATTTAACTTCACTAAATTAAAACCATTTCTGTATTAGTTGATTATATCCTTGAATTGGCTACCAGTAAGGATTTTTTTCTTGTAATAAATCTCTTTTTTTTAAATTTTGATGGAGCAATTAAATCGTTTAATTTTGGTTTTCTTAGTTTATACCCAAGAAGGAAAATTCTGTAAATGTATGAAGTTCTTATGAATATAAAAATTGACTTTTTTAACATTATAGTTATAAACATATTAAATATGTATTTAAAATTCTCATTTGATTGATTGAATCAAGATATTAAACATATGGTATATTTAATATTCAAAATTTATTCAATTAAAGTGTTGTTTTTTGTGATTAATATCATTAAGTTCTCAAGAATATCCGAAATAGATTGTTATAATAACTAATCAATTTTAAATTTGGCTACTTCTTCACCACAAAAAGTTCTAAAACTAAAGAGGGCGGCACTATACAGGCCTTTTCTTATTGATGAAATAAAATTGGCATACTTTACATTGTAGACATGGGCTTTCTACTGTACAAGTTTTTATTTAAATTTATAACAAAATATTTGATTCATAGGGTAAAATATGTACAGTAATAGCCTGTGATGGCAAGTTATATCACTGTTATTATTTTATAAGTGAATTGTTTTTCCAGTACTGTATATTAAATACATTTGTTACAAGCAATTAAAATTTATCCTAAAATGTATTGACAGTGTGAATAGCTTAATACGCAACCAAAGTTAACGCATGTATCATTTGTAGCAATTTATCTCAGTTTGTCTTGCCTGTCATAGCTCTTGTCACTCTGTGTCTATTCGAGAGGGTCATAATTTATTTAAAGTTAGTCCATCTTCTTTATCACTGGCCCCAATGGGGAAAAATAGGTCCCCAAACCCCAGGAAAAATCACCGAAAATCTGGTTTTATGTTTTAGCTAGAGTATTTAGGCCCACTTGCAATTACAGCCCCAGGATCCACAGCCCTTTAATCCAGCCCTGCTTGCATTTAAAACATGCTAGCTTTACATTATATTTGCAACTAAGTTGTTGTCATCTTATTGATCCTCATTAAAGAAAGCCAGCATTGTTTGTAGTCCAGTTTATTAAAGTTTTCTGTAAACACATACCACAGATATACAAGCCCAGATCGTAATTCGCTTTGGAGACCAGATGTAGGACAAATTATGCATAGCATGAGGTGAAGTTAAATTGTATCTAGTAATTTTGCTAAAGGTGTATAGTATAGTAGTCAGTCCCGTAACTATGCTTTATATGTATACTATTTCTGTTGCCTTAGTTATCCATTATCAATATGTGTGTGACATGTATTATACTGTATAACTGAATATAGTTGTTACTAGTTGATGTATGTGCAATAGTTTCTAACAACATTTTTTGGTGGAAGTATTTATGATTGTAACTTTCTCAATTATGAAAATAAAGAAACTGGAAAAAGTTTGAAGTCTTGAATGTACATAATTTATAATCACCAACTCTCTTATGTAGAGCTGCGTCTTCGTGATCAATCTGGCCGTATTTGAGGAGGTTTTTTTACTTACCCAACAAATAGACTGCCACAAGAAGTTCATATGTCTGATTTTCATTACCACTTTCAATTAATGATACAATCAAATCAATCAATCACAGTACTATGTCAACGAATATTTGTGAAGCTTTAATATCCAAAGCAAATTTGCAATGTTCCCTTTTGCTATACTGTATATTTATAGGTCTTCAAAAATGTGCAATTCATTTTTGAAGAAAACAATGGTATATTTCGTATGAAGCATTACAAGTGAACACAACATATCTATCATCCCAACCCTGTTAATTACGCATTTCCTTTAATTTTTGGCTCTTCTCCCTTCTCCCTTTTATCTTGTACTTGGGTGGTCAGTGTGCAGTATTATGCACTTAATAAGTGTATTTCCCATTACCATATACAGCGATTCATTTACAGTGATTAAACTCCTTTGCAGTCGCCATAGCTGGGGGCTTCCAGCAGGGTATTCTTATGTATTACGATTTTAAGTGAATTTTTCCAATTTTATATTTTTAATCATCATCATTTCTGTGATACTTTTCCATTTCAATGGAACATTTTACATGAGTTTTCTTTGTCCTTTCTTTTTCACACAAGTTTTTTATTTATATATTTTTTAATTGTTTAATAGTGCTACACATACTTTACCCAATTTATCATTTTTTAACCACAATATTTTGAAAATATCTTGTAAACTGCATAGTAGAGAGTACTGTAATTGAATAACGTTGTGGTTATGATGGTTGCCTTCCAATTCCAAGGTTCTGGGTTCAAATCGTGTCACAGAAACAGGATTTCTCTGAAGATCAAAGGCCACTTCACTGCCCATGCATCACAATTCGGTGTATTCATTGCCTTGTGCCTACCTAAAATAAATCATAAATTAGACAATTTTGCAAAGTAAAGTGCAGTGTAACTGATTTTTTTTTTCAATTTAGTATATCAACTATTTTTTTTTTCTGTCAACAGAGTAATCTCAACGATGAAATTAGATTTACCAGTTGGCAACGATGTATCGTCAATACCAGAAGTATCCGCAACAGCACTTATTACCCCGATGTTGCCGACATGGACACCACCTCCCCTCTACCACCCCCTATCAGATCAACCAAAACAACTTAGGCCGTCTGTGATAGCTGTAGCGCCACCTCAACACCGAGAAGAGAGCAGTCGTACATACTTACGGAAAAATGGGCTTGTCACTACGTCAAATGGTAGTCTCCAAAGAGAAATTACTTCAGGTAAGTTTTTTATTGTAGGCGATAATTACAAGTATTCCCGCAAAAATTTTGGAAAATCAACTACTCTTAATTGTTTTTGATTTTTGCTACAGTTTCACAATTTTCTCATCAGGGATTTCAGAGAGGCTCAGACAAATACACATTTTAAAAGCTGGTAATTTTATGAAGATATTTGCAATTTAAGGCATAATTATTATATAGAGTGCAAGCTTATGTTGCCAACTGACTGCAAAGAATAAACAGTTTATATCAGGCAGTTTGTCACCCATCAAACATTTTTCAGATTTTATGTATTTTCAAATACAATACTGTACTTCAAAAGTATCGCAGATGTTTCATGAAGTCTGCAAAATGTTTTGCCGAGTCTACTTAGCAACAAATAATAAAATGTCATGGCTTTTCGATATTGTTACTCCGCCCCAATATTCTACGAAAACTTATTTTCATGAATTTTGGGGAAAATTGTAGGATACTTTCCAAATTGCCAAAAGTAGATGTACTGTACTGTTTTACCTATCCAACGTTAATGTTTGCATTTCCATCGAAATGTTTTTGAATTTACAGCAATTTAAAAAAAAAAACATGCTTTTGTAAACAATAGTGGTATTATATTACACTGCCAATTTCCTGTGGACTTAACACAATTACAGTCATATTTTTTTTAATTTTAAAGTGTAGAAATTTTTTGGATTGAGTTATTCTGAAATGAAAATGACAGTTTGTGACCAAACAGAGCAGTAATTTGATTAAACATTTTTAAAGAAAATGAATGTGCAAAACTCTTCATGTTAAATTTGAGCTGGGCTTATAAAAATTGACAATTGGACTCGTGCCATTACGGCATAAAAATCAGAATTCTGTCATGTGCAGAAATCATTTTAAAAGTTGAGATTGTTTAATATGCCTGAGGCTAGTGTGTATATTTTAGTTGTTTTTTTTTTTTAGAATGAACCTGTGGCTGTTTTTGGCATCTAAAACCTGTGTGCTGAAGGCTTGCCATTCCAAAATCATTTGGAATTCATGAGAATTTCCTATTCAACGAATTTTTAGTAACATATTTCATAGCCCTATTATATCAAAGTTGCCTGATGTAATGTTTTTTTTTAAATGGGTAGATTTATTCTTAAACTTTTTCGGATTTTCTGCCATTTTCTTTAATATTTTTTTAAGATTATTCATAGTATTTTGATATTAATTAAATTACATATCCCTTTATGTTTCCTGATTAAAGACAACAAATTTTGAAAAATTCTGAAATATTTAGTCAGAATACAAAATTGCTCAAAAAGAATCAAGATTTCTCAAATAATACTCAGATCGATTTATTATCACTTATCTGCAAAATCAACATTAATTTGATATTAACCAAAGGCTTGCCATTCCAAAATCATTTGGAGCATTGAAAGGCTGCCGGAGTTGACCCTTTAATCCTACCATATTACCTTCTTTGATTGCCAGCCACTGTTTGGGTTCAAGATTGTACCCTTAGGGCCAGCTGGAGTAGACGTCGTCTTGAAAACATACCCCACACAAAGCTTAAAATTGATAGTCTCTGTAAAGTTGTTGTAATCTGGTCATGCTGTTGTGATCACTCCTAGCAGCATGGTGGTTAAAAGAAATTCATATTATTTTCATCTTAAAATGATTCATGAGAATTTCCTATTCAACGAATTTTTAGTAACATATTTCATAGCCCTATTATATCAAAGTTGCCTGATGTAATGTTTTTTTTAAATGGGTAGATTTATTCTTAAACTTTTTCGGATTTTCTGCCATTTTCTTTAATATTTTTTTAAGATTTCTCATAGTATTTTGATATTAATTAAATTACATATCCCTTTATGTTCCTGATTAAAGACAACAAATTTTGAAAAATTCTGAAATATTTAGTCAGAATACTAAATTGCTCAAAAAGAATCAAGATTTCTCAAATAATACTCAGATCGATTTATTATCACTTATCTGCAAAATCAACATTAATTTGATATTAACCAAAGGCTTGCCATTCCAAAATAATTTGGAGCATTGATAGGCTGCCGGAGTTGACCCTTTAATCCTACCATATTACCTTCTTTGATTGCCAGCCTCTGTTGGGGTTCAAGATTGTACCCTTAGGGCCAGCTGGAGTAGACGTTGTCTTGAAAACATACCCCACACAAAGCTTAACATTGTTACTCTCTGTAAAGTTGTTGTAATCTGGTCATGCTGTTGTGATCACTCCTAGCAGCATGGTGGTTAAAAGAAATTCATATTATTTTCATCTTAAAATGATTCATGAGAATTTCCTATTCAACAAATTTTTAGTAACATATTTCATAGCCCTATTATATCAAAGTTGCCTGATGTAATGTTTTTTTTAAATGGGTAGATTTATTCTTAAACTTTTTCGGATTTTCTGCCATTTTCTTTAATATTTTTTTAAGATTTTTCATAGTATTTTGATATTAATTAAATTACATATCCCTTTATGTTTCCTGATTAAAGACAACAAATTTTGAAAAATTCTGAAATATTTAGTCAGAATACTAAATTGCTCAAAAAGAATCAAGATTTCTCAAATAATACTCAGATCGATTTATTATCACTTATCTGCAAAATCAACATTAATTTGATATTAACCAATTTAAAGGAGTTATTAGAATTAGGAACTGCGTTTAGACCTACAGGGTACAGTTGATTTGAGGAGTTGTAATTTTACAAATTAAGTCAGATTTTTGCATTTTTGCTCAATTTATTTAGGTGAATTAAAGTACAAACAAACAAAACAATTTATAGCTACATTCATTCGGCATACCAAATTGAAAGGTTTACAGTTACAAATACATTGATTTGTAGATGTAAATGTAACCATAATATAATATTTGTTATATAAAACAAAAATGCTAACAAATCACATATATTAGCTCGATGCAGATACTTTAAAATAACAATTTTTATCCTATTTTAGTTTTAACAGAAAATTTTACAGTTACAAACAAATACAATAATTTGTAAGAAGATAATTTAATTTTTACAGGGAAAATTGTTGACATAAGTATTTGCAGAATTCATTTTAGTGATTTAATGTCCTGTAGTGTAGGCAGACCTATTATTACATGGAAAAACCTTTCACAGCTTGATGCTACATCTCAAGTTTACCAAATATTTCAGTCAGTTGGAAGAATCTCAAGAAATTATCATTTTCCAAAGTTCAAGTAACAGCAGGTGATAGGAAAATGCACTGAACAGTCAAATACTAAATATTAAGTTTCATTTTTTTTTTTAATGTTAAAAGTTATTCCACTTGTTGGTAATATAGGTCTCCCTCTGATTAAAGACCAATTTTGGAACCGGCGTTTCCATGATTTTAGCAGCTTTAGTAATATAAAAGATAAGACATTGTTAATTTGGGACCACAAAAAACTGGTCTTTAATTGGCGGTGGGCTCTATTATTGCGGGTCTTTAATTAGAGAGAGACCTGTCAAAAAAAAGAAATGCTTTATAATGTTACTAAAATGATGGGGTTTTTTTTTTGTTCTCAGGTGGTTGTGATCCTTCAATTGAAGAGCATTTTCGTAGAAGTTTAGGAAAAGATTACAACAACGCAATAACGTCGCCGTCAACCTCGCCGGATCTCACCAAGAATCTATTAATCACAGGCTCAGTCGACGACCATTTCGCAAAACCGTTAAGAGATAGATGGAACCAAATTAAAGACACAGTCGACATGACAAGGAAATCCTCTCCACCATCATCTCTTAAGCTTATGACTCAACAGCCACTTGTGTCTTCCCAGCAATATTAAGTTGCAAATTGACTCGTCATATAATCGATGAGTTTTAAAATCCTAGATGTGATTATTTTATTGAGCTATGCGCAAGAAGAATATAAATATATATATTGTATATACTGTATCTATATATATGAAGATATGTTGTTATTATAGACTTGGATGTTTTGGAGGAGAGTATTGTGATTGGGTGAATTGAAGGAGTTTTGCTTGTACAGTAGCACTTCTATATTTTATCTGGAATATATTTCAAAATCATGATCACCTTAAACTTTTTATATTTGAAAAGAAAAACATGCATTTGCATACACTATGAGATTTTTGTCTGATAAAGCACGTCTGTTGAATCTTTGGAAGTTTATGATTGTTTGACAAAGTCCTACTAAATCTATTCAAACATTGTAAAATCTGACTAACAAATTCTGCATTTAGTTTCCATTAAAGTTTTGGAACTTTTTGCACAATCATTGACAAAAGGATATTTTATTATTAAGGATGCAGTAATTATTTATATCTTTTCAACATGTCTTGCAATCATTAATTTATGTTCGTGAAGCAAACTATTTGTTGATTGTGGAGTGGATGTGATCTTCAGCAAAAATGTTGCTGTATATTGAGATGCATCTATTACTGTATATTCAGATAATATGAATGACATTCTGGGAATATACAACTTTTATTAGAATAAAAAAAAAGCCATATTGAAATACTTTACTGTACTTTTGACCATATTGAAATTGTTTTTATTGATGGGACTAGAACTAGGAATGTCTGATCAAGTTATTGTTTGTCAGACATTTTGCTCCAGAGGCTGAGGCTGTGCCTTGTAAGGAACCTCTGTGTTAAATATTGAATAATAAACATTGATCAGACTTGAGAAGTAGAAAATTGTTTTACTATCTGACTAAATCTTTATTACGAAAACACTATAAAACAAATTCTGGCTTTATAGATGTTCCATAGATATATGCCATGAAAGTGGAAAAGGAGGTAAAATAATTACACACAAGAATATTTTAAAATGGTAGTATCTTCATTCTGCAAAAGTATTCAACTAAAATTTGATACAACTTGTTAAAATAATTAATTCAAATGTTGTACAAAGTGCTGTATTTAGCTTATATTTATGTACAGGCTTAATTATTTTATTATGACAACTTCATGTGATTTATTTAATTCCCATTGCATTTGGCATTTAACAATAAAAAGAAGTGTTAATATATTATAAAATTTCTAAAAGAATTTAAATATGTTTACTGTTACTACTATTCTATAAATGTCAATTACTTTCCATTTGCAGACCTGGTTTTAAAAGTATGTATTATAATTATAAAATATGGCTGACAAAAAGAATACAAAAAGTAATATAGAGTTATTAAATTGTGTGCTATAGAAATTATCCCCATGAATTCTTTCTGAATTAGTAATTGCCTAGAAATTGCTAATAATATGCTTAAACCTAGTGTGAATTTATGGATAATTTGTATCTTTTATGTTTATATACACTAGCATTAGTGTAGGATTATGATGACCTGAGAGTAATAAGAAAAGGACAGAATATGTTACAGACCTTTTATTAAATGCAACATCTTTGTTGTTAATTACAGTAACAATGCAAATTTGTCATATTAATCTGTATTCCTGATGATGATAATTAATGTTAAAATATTGGATCCACAACATGATGGCATGCATTTCAATACTTGGAGTATGTACTATCAGTATTGTTTATAGTGTAATTTATGGAACATCTTCCAACCATGATGTATGAGAGTGCCATGTTGATAATATGATGATGATGATGGTGGTGGTTGTTAAAGTTGATGATGATAATTATAATAACGATTATAATGATAATGGTGATGATGTTGATTTATTTGTTTTGTTTCCTCTTCAGTAACAAATTACTGTTCTCCCAGAGAGCCTAAAAAAATGGGGATTTACTGACAATAACAGTTACCAAATGTTTGTTTATTGTCTCAATTATAGATTCAAACCCGACTAAATTCTCGCCGATTAAATACCATTCGGTGGATTTAGGCCAAGTTTATCCCTTATTAGGTAGAAGTAGCAATGGTTTTTATTCGATGTTTGTACACAAAATTATGTTACATTTGACAGAACTACATAGAAAATGTTCACAAAGTTGTTTTTTTTGTTTTTTTTTTAACAAGAGTGACACAATGTTTGTGTCATGAAATGTGTATTTTGATGTTGCAAGTGCATCTGTACCAATTTCATTCGCCTTGAAGTATATCTTGGCGAACTGGTAGTACAGAAAAATTGATGTAATCGTGATAAGATGTCGAAAGAAATAAAATTCAAAAAGAAAAATTTTTTAAATGTTTGTGCATCCTTTCATCTTAATACCATACTATACCATAGTACAATAAACACAAATTTTACTGTGGCGTCCTTACAGATGTGCTGGTGATATGGTAGCATTTGGCGGTGTCTCAATCTCGAGGTCAGGGTTGGCAGTGGGGGATTTACGTGGGGGATTTACCCTCTCCCACCACCCTTTCACACCACCCCTCCCCCCACCCTTTCAGAAAATAAAAAAAAAGAAAGAAAGAAAAAAAAATTGTTGATCTTCCAAAACGTCTCACAGGTTATTTCTGGGGCGTCTAGAAGACAAACATTTCCCAGGGGGTGTAGTAGATTAGTACCACTGTTATTGGGATATTGTTACAGAGAGGGCGTCTGTCAAGAGATGTGTGTGGTTGTTATCGTCTCGGTGCAGACAGCCATGTTGAGTAGAAATAAACTACAGTAACCGAACCCTGCAGTGTATCCTGTTTTATTAAGAATACAACAGGGGGCATGCCACCGGAGGCCCTGGCCTTAGGTTAGTGTTGTCTCTCGATAGCAGGCATCCCCCTTCAGGGACATCGTTCGCATCCCCCTTCAGGGACATCGTTCCCTCTCAACCCACAATTTCGGACATCTCTGGTTTCCTTTTTTTATTTGCTGTCCTTGAATAAACTTTACGTAGTTTGTCTCTATCCACCCAGATTGAGGACTAGTACAACTGGGCACCTTGATGGGTTTTTTTGTATTGTATGCATTTGTCCATGTTGTATTGAAAGCGGGATTGTAAGCACGACTGGGATTACTCCACAAAGGGAGTGGAGTAGGCAGCACTTTGTGCTGGTTTGATTACGGATCTAATGACCTTGTTTCCCTTGGCAAAAGTCGCGGTATGAATTCATATCGCAACTTAATACCATTAATACATTTTAATGATTGCTTTGTAGTATTTTTTGGAGACATTCCTTTAAAATTTAAAAAAGGTTTAATTCTTTAATTATTTATTATTTAATTATTAAATTAATAATTATTTATTATTAAAGGATTTACTTATTATTTAATTATTTATTATTTAAGGATTTTTCAAATAATTTAAGACTTAATTGATTCCTGTCTATATGTAATAGAAACAAAAATAACAATAAACAATATAACAATAATAACAATAACAATTGATATAATAATATAATTAATAATGATATTAATAAAATTATATTAATTAATAATAATTAATATAATTGTTTAATATAACAATTTTAACTCCATTAACATTTAAAGCAGTAGATAGAGACAAGAAGGTGAATTGTAAGCATTAGCAATTTGGAAACCGTTCAGTAATAATTCAAATTGCACTAATGCAACACCATTTCTTAATTGGATACAATTTACTATGAAGTTCAAGGTAATGAAAGAGAAAGTTATTTATCCGGTATAGTAATAAAGACAATCATTAGGCCCGAAGGTCGTGGTGGGATGATGATTTTTACATCTGGTATGATTTTTCCCGACTTGGAATGTCTAAATTAGAAATAGAATTGTGATGCAATATTCGAACACGTTTATCATGAAACCTTTGAGCTAAAAAAAAAAATAATCTGTACCGTTTTTATGTTAGTTAACAGGTGAGTCCTATATGCTTGCAGTCACCATGGCCTATCTTGAAAGCACAAATTAACAAATACTTGCTGTTTTTCATCATGGCCTAGGAAATCTTACAATTACGTTCATGTTATAACAAATTAAAAAATGGGGTTTTTAAGAAAAGGGGGACCAAAATAGATTTGTTTGTATAGTTTGTGAAATACAGTATATGATATTGGTGTCACAATGTGTCCATGGAACAAGGCTTTTTTTTAAGTTTCTCTAAGGGAGAGATATTACAAAACGACTGGATTGATAGAGAACTCTTGCTATGTTCCAAAGGTCTGGAAATAGGACTTGTATATGAAGCCAATGTTGAAATAATCGAGGAGGATCATTGATAAAGCACGTACTAATGGGTTTGTACAAACTGCTGCACTAAGAGGCAGTTTCTTGGTCAAATCAAATGAAAAGGTGAAAGGAACCAGGATTATTTGAAGAACTAAAAAATAACTAGGAGTTTTATCTTTAATATTTTATAGGCCTACATGATATATGATAAGGTTGTGCAGTAAATTTTGATTAATTTATTAACATGATGTATATATATATATATATATATACTGTCTCTTATACCCATCT